CATACTTCTGTGTGTGATCTTTTTAGCTGTGTAATTTGCATGATGCTAATGGTGTAGGGTAAACTTGTATCAGTTGTTAGCTACATTATCTTCATGGCTCCAGTGCAAAACTAAAGAGGCAAACTTCAAACACCAAACATGTCTTGGCTGATTGACTACCTTTGGGGCCAGAGGGAAATTGTGTAAATTTGATTATTCGCCAAACTCTTTCTGCACTGGATTTGTACTGAGCTGTTTATATGCTGTTGTAGGCCTACAGTGTTTAATTGCCGGCTGCAGTGATTCCAGGGCAGGCTTTTAAATGTTTTGAAACTAAATTCCATATAAAGCTTTGCGATGCTACAGCTGACTTCAAAAACTCCCCTTGAGCTTTGAGGAGGCTCGTCTGCTTTTGAGAGGAGCCAGCTATCAGAGCCTGGAGATTTCAGGTCATTACGATGAACTAGGCTAAACGGTGCCAGTAAAAAAAAGGGTTTAATTACCAAAATGTTGAACTACTTCTTTAAATAACTGTAATTTCACTAGAGGCTTTTGCTGGGAGTGTTACTGTGATGGTTATTTTGCTTTAGGGGCTGCAGTTGGACAGGCCTGCTGGTGCATTGTGGGAACACACATACACACACACATGCACATACACACACACACACACACACAGACAAAACATGTGAATTCCACAAGTACAGTGTATTTCAGTATTTCTATGATACTTTCAGTTTTAACCAAAGAAGATGACAAAGCCTTAAAGGGGAAATCCACACCAAAGTCTTTGCAAAGTTCAGTCTTTGAGATATAAACAAAGTCATTCAGAGGGGTTTGATGTGAAGTGGTACATTGTTGAGTCAGATTTCTTTACAGTGGTTATGACAGGAACCAGGGGTCACAGTGTCTGCAACATAAATATAACCATTTTATTTACTATATAAAATGGCCAGTGAACGTGCACATACCTGTAGAAAATTGTGGTACCTCTTCTTCAGGGATTATTTTGCCTCAAAACACACTGCACTGCCTCTCTGCCTTGAACCGACAGTAAAAAAATGTAGGCTAAAAGTTATTTCAAATCTATGGTACAAAAGTATCATGGACTTGATGTGAAGGTTTAAAGACCTCACAAGGACTAAGCGTTCAACTCTAATTAAGCATGAACAATCCTGCGTCTAGATAGGGCTGTGTTCAAATTATTTATATGAAACTATATGGTAGATAACCTGGTGGTGATACAAGTATTGATACAGTGATGATGGTATCGATATTCATACATTTAAGATCAGATCTTAACAGAGTGTTCAGTGAGGTGCTCGCTCTCCCACTTAAGAATTATTTTTTGGGTTAAGATGCTTTGAAACCGATAGCTTTATCTGTTCTACATCTGGTTTATTGCATCATTATATTGTATCATATTGTGACACATTGTGATGGAAATGAAGTAAAACCAGGACTGGGGTTCTGAATAATGGATCGGAAGGCCCACGAAATGGTAGTAAAGAAAGATAGTTGATCCTAGTTGTCTTGCTATGCATAAAACATTAAAAAAAACATGAATACATCATCAGTAGTTACATAATAGGGCCCGGTTTCCCAAAGTATTTTGTATTTTATTCTTTCCCTTATGGGGAAACGTTTGTGTGTTTTTATTCATATTTAATTTTTATGTTCATATTTTCCAGCCTCTTTTTATCCCTTAAAATTAAACAGGCTATTTTTGTTACTGTGCCTTTAAAATTGATAAAAGATAAATGAGCTTCAGCCTGATTGGCTGTCCTGTATTGTGGCACTCAGAGCTGAAACACTGCTTATAACTTCAGCATGAATGGGCAGAACTAACCTGCTGTAGACTGAATAGGTGGCTATATGTTCTGTTTTTGCGTAGTTTCCATTTATGGACTGCATGGACTGGCTAGTGAACATTATCTTGAACAGTGTTTATATCAAACTTCTTTTTTTTTCAAGGAAAAAAGGCAAAAAGCAAAGGAAATTTGTTTTTCTGTGATATGAGCCCTTCAAGATAAGTTTAGCTGGTAGAGAGAGTGTTAGTGTGATGCTCGCTCTACCATTTAAGTCATTCTTTGTGCTAGATGCTTTCGGGTAACCCAGAGCAGTACAGTTCAGAGACTTTTAAAGACAAATAAAGTGTCATTTCCTCCAAATGTTCTGTTTTTGAAGACATGGAACAATATTTTACAAGATGTTTTGCTTTCACACACACACACACACACACATACACACACACACACACACACACACACACACACACCACAGTACACCCTTACTTCCTCCCAAAGTGTTACGTTCTTCCTCCTGAACTGTTCTATCTCATTGTGTCCCTGTATGTATGTGTGTGTGTGTGTGTGTGTGTGTGTGACCAGACAGACCACATTCTTCTGCTTAGGAGTGTTGTCGCACATAACTGTGGCTATTGGGTTCATAAAGGAAATATCCCACACAGATTCTTTCTGTTACCACACAAACACACACATACAGTGCTGTGCAAAAGTCTGAGAGCACCATTCATGACCTTAAAGTACAGGTTGTTCATTATTCAATAAAGCAAGAAACATATTTAACAGAATTACACAGAAGCCTCAACAACTAAATGTATCATTTCTTCAGTATTTACTGTGTCTACCCTTGGCTTTTATTACAGCTTCTATTCTTTGTGGGAGACTTGCTTACAGTTTTTTAAAGAAATCTGCATATTTTTCTATACCTCCAAAGTTCAGTCTTTGAAGTTGGTTGCATTGCTACTTCTCACAATCCCAGTGGTCCTGTTTAGACTCCCCAGTCAAACTTTGCTCCTTGTTTCAGATGGCGAATTTCAGTGTTGTAGTGCATATTTTCTTGGCTTCCTGACAGCTACACATCCTTTCAGACCCATAGTGTTGAGTTGTCTTCTTGCAGTGGAAGGATGGACAGAAACACATGAATTTTTTCAGATCTGAAGCTTGATCTCTCAAAGATGAAAGCTGTTCATCTGTTGGTGACACTGGCCTACTAGGTCTTGCATGGTTGTTAGATGTCCAGCTTTTTCTGTTTCTTTTATTATTTTTTGAAGTCCACTTTTGGAAACGCCTGTTTTTTCACTAATTTTCCTTTTACTGTCTCTTTCCTTTGGTAAGTTGATTATCTTATCCCTAATCTCCTCAGAAATACCCCCTTTAGCTATTTTAGATGCTTGTGTGAATGTTACTGTCTCTTTGAAGGGGTTACATAATGTCAGTGACACCTTTGGAAACCTTCTGTTGGAGGGCTCAGCTGTACCTTGTCAGTTTTAAGATTGGAAGGACGGAAGAGTTAAAGAGGCAGTAGGATACACAAAAGTAATAGGGTACAAATTAAATACTGATAGATTTGATATCATACTTTAGCATAATTGTCTGTTTAACGTTTTCTGAAGAACATGTACTTAACGGCCGTTTTGACTGGAAACCAAATAAATGAGAGGGTGTTCTCTGACCAGTGAATGGTGGGGGCTTATTTGCCCTTTGGGGTCAGACTTCAGTACTGACCCTTAGATTCTCTTCTCTGTCTGAGCGTGTGATAGCGGTTATGAATTCCTCTCTGTACAGCAGCGCAGAGTAAAAAGAGAAAAACGTGTCACAGCTCCCAGACTTTCGCAACATTTGTCTGATTATAGTTCCCTTTCAACTCTAACCACCCCTGTGTTTGGTTGTATGAATCCCATGACTGGGCCGTTAGCGTCTGCTTTGAGTCAGAACGCTGGAGTGGGAAAAGCAGATGATTCATCGATTCCTCACACACTGACTCTCCACGGCCAGTTCCCATCAACTCCTCTCAACTGTTTTGAGGACTTCATAGCACTGGAAGATTTGCTCGGCAGTCCACGTCTGTTGTAAACACATGCTACATTGCTGCCTCTGCTGCTGCTCTGCTGTGTATCACTATTCTCAACACATTTTCGTGGGACACAATATGTTTCACAATGTTTTCTTTTTGTTAGGTTTGATAATTTGGAGCAAAGAAAGAACCAGTAGAGCCACATAGATAAAATATAATCAAAAACTGAATACAGTGATTTTTATTCAACTTTTCACACATTGGACTTTACTGAATCCAGTTAAACAGGACTAATTATGCTCTCTTTGAAACAAGAACATGCAGTTGGTTAATGTACTTTAAGTATTGATGATATACACAATATGCTCAAAAGACCATTTTGTCATAATATATCACAATAATGATAAATATTGTCCTGTTGTTGCCCACACTTTTTTACTGGCCCTCAAATAAACAAAACGACAGCCTTCTATTTTGGCTCAAAAGAGTTTTTCTTACAGAGTTAAAGAGTACACACAGGTATTTTTACAAATATTACACATCCTTTACTCAAATCTGTCATATGTATGAAGCCACCCACTTTTTTATGTTTATTAATTAGATAATAAACATGTAATGTTGATACTAGAGCTGTCAAAGTCAGTGTGTTAATAATGCATTAATGTACTAAATTGTATTTTATTCTCAGTTAAAGCTTTTTCCTGGTTTCCTATCAGTGTAGGCTGAAGCTGCTCACGCTGTGTATTTTGATGATAGAATCTGTAATTGTAGCCCTCTCATTAAAATACAGCCTTTAAATAGCTTTTAAAACAATAGTTTGAGCAGACTACGCTGGACAGTGCTTGCAGGAGAGTTATGGATACATCAGTAAACTAATGAAAGCGACAGCAAAGTGGAGCAAAACTCCAGCTTCCCTCAAGAGCCTCCATCATAAAAAGAATCCACAGGCTGTATAAAGGAGAGTGAGAGGCCTGCAGTCAGTAGTTGGAACCACTGGTTGAGCATGCAGCTCACACTTGGTGTTGGTGATGAACTGTGTTCACTCTGGGGAAAATCACATGATGGTCATGTCCAGTTCCTGTGAACCCTACTTTCCCATGATGAAAACAGTGTTATTAAATCAAAAAATAAGAAATACATTATGATGAAACTTGAGAGCCACTTGTCTGACCAGGTGGATATTTCCCTGTCTTCCTCTTCTGTAGGAGAAGCCAAGAATATTCCTCCATACCCAGGGCCCAACAAGATGAGGGACTGCTACTGCACGGTGAACCTGGACCAAGAGGAGGTCTTCAGGACTAAAATGATTGAGAAGTCTTTATGGTGAGAAATCTGCTTTCTTCCACTTCATCTTCCAAGTTACTCACTCACACACAGTCCAGTTAGGCCACTCCTTTTTATTTGTTCATAAATGTTTAGATTATGAAAGAAAATCAGGAAAAGATGAGGGTAAGGTAAATTACATTTTACCATATATCGACTGATATATTGTTTGGCCCATAAAATCAACCAATATTAAAGTCCCTCAGATTATAGGCATCAGCATAAATCCTGCTGATAAAATACCTGACAATAAATAGTGTTTTTCGTTAGAGCCCATCAAATATATATAATTTTGCCAACAAACATATTAAAACGACAGTAATATTAGTGTAATATTATTAAAATATTATTTTAATATTTAAAATAATTTAATTTTAAAAAAATATTCAAAAACCATATATAAGAATGTGATGCTATTCTGAACAACAGTCAAACATAACAGTGGGCACTGTGGCAACTGTTGTTTGTTCATGTTATTGACCAGTTTTAAGGTAATGTCTTGTAAATATTATTTTTAAGTGGCTTGTTTTATTTTTATATTGTTTAAGATGTTGTTAGTTTCTGCTTTTTTGACAATTAGGAAACCTCAATCATATCAGTTAGTAAAACTGCTGAACTAAAACTGTTAGGGTTGTTTTCTGAGACAAAGATTAAGCCTAATCTTTGAATTACAATGCCAGTAGTGATCACCATTGTAACTTCTGTTTAGTCTAGGCTTTGGTTAAATCTGGGTTCTTGGAGTTTAATTTTTGACCATCTGAAATTATATTGGCATATATTACTGGTTATTTTAAGCTCCTTAAAATTGCTATCGCATCAGATTTGGCGATGGCCGAATTTCCATTTTGGTTGGGCCCTACCTACTCTGTTAGCTACAGGTTTAGACTATTCTTCTTATATATAGTTAGTTACATATGTACAGTGGAGTCCAAAAGTCTGAGACCACATTAAAAATATGTTTTTTCTTAATTTAAACTGGGGACGTTTTAGAAACTTGAAAAATGCAAAAAAGATAAGTTATGACACTTAAAATAAAGAAGAAATATTCAAAATTCTGCACTATTTCTAGGTCACCATTCAAATTTAAGCAAATTTGTGAAACTTAGTTATGGAGTCCATGCAAGCTTGAGTGCACGCTGTCATTAAAGCAAAGGGGGGTGTACCGTACCAAATACAAAGAAATTCTGAAATTAATGTAAACATTTAAAGATTCTACTCAAATTGTTATGCTGATAGGAGAATTTGCAATGAAAACTTTGTATTAAATTAGGAAGAATTGCAGGATAGACCACCAGTGGTCTCAAACTTTTGGACGCCACTGTATATAATACATGTGGGACCTGTGTGTGTATTTTTATGAACATGACTGTACAAAATATTCACTGACACATAAGAAAGATCACATACAGCTACACAGCATGCTGTATTTAACAGCACCAGCAACACAAAGCTGCTCTACAAGCACTTAACCAAAACGCTAATGGCTAAGTGGTAATCACAGCAGGCTGCAAATGAAAAATTAACTGTTACCACGAACTGAAGAACGTCTGTTAAAGTGAAGCTCGTACACAAATAGGAAGGATCGTAAATGCCTGAACAAAAGATACTCCGTTCATTCATGCACACGACAGCAGATGATAAACTAATGAATGAACTTCACTCTGTGAACACGCAACGCACAGAAGGGGCCGAATTGAAATGCTTTCATCATCCAACCCAGCCTGTCGTATAAATAAAAATCAATAAAGAGCATTTCAGTTCCGCCTCTTCTGTAACTGTTAGAGCACACATTTGCTATCCGCTGGACAATATAAGCGTCATTCTTTCTCAGACTTGAATGCAGTATCATTCACTTGCGCTTACATGTGCTGTTTAAAACTAAATTCAGAAATATTGATACAGCCATCACTGTACTGATACTTGTATTGCTATGAGCCTTTCCATAATACATTACATATCAATGTTTTGAACACAGCCCTGGTCTGGGGGGTCGGGGGGTTGTTGTGGTGAATGTAACGCGGGATACAGGAAGAGCGGACTGTGGTCATTTTGTGTAGTGATGCCTTGTGGGCATTCATCATGAGAATCCTATTCAGTGTGTGTGTGTGTGTGTGTGTGTGTGTGTGTGTGTGTGTGTGTGCGCGTGGTGAGGGGTAGATGGGTGTGTTTACTTCACCTCAAAAAGACCTACTCTGCGCATGTGATCAGTGCTGCCCACGTGAGTGTATCGTGCAGACAGTAATCATGTAGGACAAGCAAGTCAAACAGTGTTTCTTCACACTCTAATGCCAAAGAGAAGAAAGAAATAAAGCGAAAGAGAGAAAGAACGAGAAAAACACACATAGACCAAAGGTGAACGGCTCTACTGCTCTCAGCAACAATTCAGCTGCAAAGACAGAAACACTCAGATCTGTCCCTTCCCCTGCAACAAGTAGCTCGTTTCAGCTTTTAGCACCAAGCATCAGATTGGATCACAAACAGACCTCAATTCTACATTGTGGGGTTTAGAAACTCACTGTTTCTCAATTCTTTGATTGACCAAAATGCTGTTTTTTATGTCAAGCTATAGACCTGTAAACTATAGCTGTATACAAAAGTTTGAAAACCCTCAGGCAAATCATGTTTTGTTGATTTTCTAAATAAAAATAAGCTAACACATCCTCTGTTTGCTGAGTTTAACATATTGGAAAAAATAAAACATAAAATGTGCTGTAACTTTTGCACAGGCCACATTTTATGGGATTTTTCCAGTATATTAAATTCAGCAAATAAACCGTAATTGTACGTTAAAATGTGCAGAAGTGTGTTCTCTGTAGAGTATGTGTTAACTTACTTTCACTTAAAAAATCAACAAAACATGTCATTTGACCAGAGGCACTTACACTGTTGCATATAACTGTATAGGTCCCCTGATTGTCAGACCATTTGCTTCAGTCATTAAACTACTTAAAAACTGTTCTACACTAGGTGGTGGACGAAAACTGATCATATACATAAGTATGTATACATCCCTGACACAGGTGTTCAGTTGCACACGCAGCTTGTATGATCTTCACAACGTGGCAAACGTTGGCAATAGAATGAGACAAGCTGGAGCAGCTGTACATGAGCCTAAGGTCACCATATGCAGTGCCAAGCACAAGCTAGAGGGCTATAAACCCCCCAGTATTGGGCTGTGGAGCAGTGGAACTGTGTTATCTGTAGTGATTGAGCTCCATCCAGTACCCTTGGGATGAGTTGAAGTTGCGTTTGTGATCCAGAACTAATCATCCAACATCACTATGTAACCATTAATGTTCTTGTGGCTGAATGCAATCAAATCCTCAATGCTGTTACTGCAGCAAATAGAGACAAACATTGATTTTATCACTTGCAGTTTACACAGAAAGTGGATGAAAACATAGCTAATGAAGGGAGAAAGCTTGTTCCTCCATTGGGTCAGACTGTAGTAATCACTGTTAGTTTCCCCAGGGCGTTTGTGTGCCTGTGCATGTTGAACATGTTTGCTGTTGTAATTACAGCAACCTTGTAATGTCCGTTTTGACCAATGGTGAAAGTTTTACTCTGTTCCCTTCTGACCACAGCCCGTTTTATGGAGAGGACTTCTATTGCGAAATCCCACGCAACTTCCGCCACCTCTCCTTCTACATCTTTGACAGGGACGTCTTCAGGAGGGACTCCAGCATTGGTGAGTCTTCTGTACTGCTGTTCTCCCAGCATCTGTCACTCATTAACCACTGTTTGGATGATAACTGAGTTTGGGTCAGTAACAGTGGATTTGAACAGACCAGTAATAGAGTGAAACCTGTCAGTGGCTCACACACTTCTGCTTTCAAGCCAAGCCTGACCGATATGAAAATTTTGTCTCTGATACCCAATAATATTTGTTAATAAAGTTTTATATGGTCAAGAATGAAACTTTTTACTGTTTATTTTGTAAAACAGTGATGAAATTGTTACACAAGCCTTCTAAGTTCAAGTCAGCTTCTGTTTTGATACTTCTATCTGACGGTCAGGCAAGATCCTGTGTTCACAAAGCGAGTTACAGCAATATGAAAAAGTTTGGGACCCCTCCCCTGGTCAAACTGTCAAACTGGCCTGTGTAAAAGTTATGGCACGTTTTCTATTTTATTTTTTTCGAATGTGTTAAGCTCAGCAAATAATTAGAAATTGTACTTTAAAAATTGCTAAAAAAACGTTTAAGTTCCAGTAGAGGACTGTAGCACCGCATGTGCTACCCCGGGCTCAAGGAGGACGCTGGAGGCAGGGCTCAGTGCTGCAGCAGCCATATTTATTAACAAATAAACACAACTCAAAACAACCGAACTATGCTGGCCACTTTTCAGTGGCTTAAGCTGGCTAGACTTTTCAGTCTCTCACGGTCAGCTCTTCATTCTCTTGCTGCTGCTCGTCCCTCTCTCTCCCTCAGTTCTGTTCCCTCTCAGCTCTTTTAAAAGGCGCTCACGCTGCCAGCCAGATCAGAATCAGCTGGCTCTCATTAAGGGCAGTGTGAGCACCTGAGCCGAGAGGGAGCGAGAGCTCGCCGTTCTGCCTCCCCGTCACCGCCCCCAGCTTTCAGCTCAGCAGCTTGCAGCTCGCCCCCAGGCGGCGGAGCTCGGGACTCGCTGCTTGCCCTCTTGCCGCTTGTTGCCGGCACCATCGTCGTCGTCCTCCTCCTGCCGTCACTCACGTGACTGGCATCCCTCGGCGGAGCTTGGGCTTTGCGCTCCGCCCCCTCCACCCTCGTGCCCCTCTCCCTGCCGTCCTTAACGAGGTTCGTCGCCGCTGGGTGTTCGGGCCCCGCCTTCCTGTCGGCTCTCGCAGCCGTCATGGTCGGGGCCCAGGGGGCGGACGCATGCCACAAGGACGTATTAACTTTTAAATTTTGCTGTAAACATTTCTGCCAATGTAAATGCCGATGCTGATACATAAACATTTATAAAATGTTGAAATTTGTTAAATCTAAACATTTGTTTGATTGTTGATCATTTTTAAGCAAATATCTGCCCACACTGCTTTGATTTAATATCGTGCATTCCTAAATAGCATCACATTCTTGAATGTGATTTTCTCGTATTTATAGATGCATTGTGATTGCTTTAGGTCAGTATGGTGGCGCAGTGGGTAGAAAAGCCTGGGTTTGATTCCCCGGCCGGCACATATAGAATCCAGCAGAATTGAAGAAATCACACATATGATGAGCGCTTGTTAGCCAATGAAAAGTTATGGTAGGGACATTTTAAAGAAAATTAATTGTAATTGTTCTTTTTCTTTCGCTATCTCCTCACATAGGCACGACCCTGTAAGTGAATTGCTGCCCTCTCCAGGTTAAGCCGATAACTCAATCTAGGCTGGACGTCACTTTGGAAATGTAAATGATAAAATGACCGCAGAAATATATATTATAAATTTATAAATTGTTTCAGCTCTCGTTCACTATTTCTGTCTCAGAAACTAAATTCGACCGTTTATACCTAAGCTTTAGATTAAACTGTCTTTAAGAGTTCTGAGGAGCATACATTCATCCAGACTTTTTTTACTGGTATTGTGCTCTGTGTTCTTTTGCCTTGGTTATGTGGCTTAGTTTGGTAAGAATATGATGTATTATGTGAGATTTGAGTGTGAATGTTTGACAGGCAGGTTAACGCTAGCGTAGTTACAGCACTCACAGAGCCACAGTGGAAACTCTTGCGCTTGCGTTTGCATCATTACATCGAGGGTCAAAGCCAACCAGCCGTGTATGCCCAAAGGCTGACTTTACTGTAAGGCCAGTCTGAGCTGAGCTATGCTCCATTTGGAGCCATAACATGCGTACACGTGTGGAGGGACCACCAGGAGGGTGCTTTAGAGCCCCCTGAGTGTGTGTTTGTGTATGTGTGTATGTGTGCGTGAGACGTCTCGCTCTGTTTCGCTCTGCTGGGTGTGTGTGAGGTCTCTTTACTTATCTGCACTCCCCTGGCACTGACATCAGTGCTGAAGCCAGCCCCCTGCCTAGACTTGCTCAAACAGACCCAGACTGAAAAAAGCATCTAGATCAGTTTTGATTAAAGCAAAAGTTCAGCAAAAGATCTAATACACAATCCAAGCTAATACATAAAACTAGTTTCTTTCTTTAGTTTTGCACTGGGGCTCTGAGCCTGATGTGGCTAACAAGTGTTTTATTTAAAATGAAAATAAAAAGGCCACTAAGTTCATGCCCATGTTAGAAACTGTGGGTCTAAGCCAGGTTTCTTTATGACAAAAATATAGGATTTTCAAAAATCACTGGTGCTAGTATTTTGTGTAGTTCCCTGTCCTATGATGTTAGTTCGGTGCACAACAGCAAAATTCATATTAATGACATCATAGTTCAGAGGATCCAGTGCCATTCAGAGGAAAAATCTGTGTACATTTTAAAATGTTCATTCTTAAATGGTCGCTTTCATTAGTGACATATATCAAGTGTTTGGTAAGATGGAGCAAGAAGATTGTAGCTTTAAGAGTTTGAGTGTGTACAGTGTGTGTGTGTGTGTGTGTGTGTGTGTGTGTGTGTGTGACCTTGATTTGATACAGAAATATTACAGTTCTGACCTTCTTTCCGTTCTTTACACAACTGTGGCTTTCACTTTAAAAAGAAATCACTGATCTGATACCAGGTATCATTAGTGTGCTGATGTCAGCAGAATATTCTGGATCGGATATCCTGTAAGACATGCTGTTATCTATCTGAAAAACATAAACAGGTGGATTCTGTCACAAATCTGTCCTGAAATAGCACACACTCACTTTGTGAGGTGTTGTTAGCTATGTATTTCTTCCTGTGGGGTATTAGAGTGTCTGAGTAGTTTCAACATGATGGTCTGCTTTTAGATGCTCATCTTAAGTAAACTGTTTCATTTTTTAAAGCTTTTAAAGCAAAATAGTTTTTAAAGAAAAAGTATTGCGTGATACTCGATGATTTCAAAACAGTAACGGTAGAAGGCCTGTCGCCATTATTATATAATCATCTGATTACAGTCATTTGAGCTGGTGGCAGTTATTTTGTTGAATTGTTAGCTTTCACCATCGTATGTTTACATTGCACAATGTGAACTGGGTACATTTCATCAGTTGGTTTGAGGCAAATATATGTAAATGACAAAAGCAGAAAATGCATTAACCAAGATGTTGTGGGAAAAGACTAAACCCTGACCAGTGCTACAACACATTTAGAGAGCAGCAGTGAATACTGTTTGTTTATTTGAGCTCGAGCTGTTTCTGTCAGCACTAAGAATTGACAGTTAGCCAGTTCGGCCACTTTAGGCTTGTACTGTAGTAGTTACATACAATAAACAAAAAAGACAATTTAGTTGTTAATCACAGTTATTCATGTATCAATTTATCCTCGGCCACAATTGGCTCAGTCGGCATCGGAAAAGAGAAAGTGGTGTTGTGGCATTTCTAGTGTACATACGTGAATGTAGTTGTCCTGAACTAGATGCATCTGTGTGTCCAGTTAAGACAACACATTTTGTGTACCTTTATCATAATAATATTGCACAAAATGAGAGCCGTCAACAGCTACGCCACGTTTCTGATTTCATTGTTTCATGTCCTGTCTTGATGCAGCGATGTACAGGCTAATATGAATCAGCTTGACAGGATAATTGAGAGAGAGAGAGGAGAGAGAGAACAGTAAAGAAAAGAGGAAGGAGCCAGGAGTGAGAAAGGGGAAGGGAGGGCAGACTCATGTGTCAAACATTTGCCACAGCTGTACTCATTAGTGTCAGTGTGTGCGCGTCTGTGTCTGTGTTTGTTTTCATATATTTTCAGGACAAAAATCTTCAAAAAAAAAGCAGCAAAATGCTTCTGACTATATACAGTGTTTTTTCTTTTTAAAATCTATGTTTCTCATTTGTTTCAAACTGAATGGTACTTATGTAGATGCTTACATATGTGGACTATAATACGTATGGATCACATTAATGTTACACATAGAAAACGTGCAGGCTATAATATATATGGATTACTTATGGATACTTTATATGGTTCTTTCTATTGATATGTAATACTGTATGTATTATATGTATCTATGTATGTATATATGTGTATGTATATATGTGTGTGTGTATGTGTGTGTGTGCGCACTGCCCATGTCTTGAGATTTTTCATGCACGTATGCCGATGACGGAGACATATAACATTTATTTATGTAGAGTTACTTGTATATATATTTTAAATTCATAATGAGCATGTGTATGAACTTTTGTCCTGACTTTGTATAAAAACAAAGTATTTGTATGGTGGAGGCTGTGGGTGTGTGGGTGTAAGGAAGGTGGTGATAACAGCACTGTGAATGTTTCCATGTTGGACTTTTTTCAGGGAAGCAGAACCAGCTTTGTTTACCCAATAGGAGCTCAGTATCAACATCACTGTAGAACAGTGTCCAATCACAGCAGGTTCTTCAGTAAGCTGAATGGAGTGGTCGACCAGTCAGACAATAGAGATTAACCTGGAGAGAAGACAGCTGCCAGCCTTTATATGTCACCAAAACACTGAGAGAGAGGGAGTGAGTCAGAGACAGAGAGAGGGGAGAGAGAGAGAGAGAGAGAGAGAGAGAGAGAGAGAGAGAGAGAGAGAGACAAACACTGGTTGAGAGACAGAAAGAAAATGAGACAGAAATAGAGAGAGTAAAATGCAAGAGAATTACAGAAATAGAGAAGGAAAGAA